AAAAAAAAAAAACCAAATTGAGATCATATTGTAGATTCAATCTTGTGTCCTGCTTTTTTCCCTTATATTGTAGAAAATTTTTTATGTCTAAATTATTTTTGAAAATGCGATTAATGGGGAGCCTCAGTGGCTCAATCAGTTAAGCGGCCAGCTCTTTGGTTTCGGCTCGGGTCACGTTCTCGTGGTTGGTGGGATGGAACCCCCACATCAGGCTTACACTGACAGAGTGGAGCCCGCTTGGGATTCTCTCTCTCTTCCCCTCCCTTGCACATACTCTTCTCTCAAATAAGCTTAAAAGAGGAAAATGCATTACGATCATAATTTCTTGCTTATATGAAACTTGAAATGTGCAGAAAATAGGAGAAGAAAAAAGTCTTTGTAATCTTACCACTGAGAGATAACCAACTCACACATTAGTATTTCCTTCTAGGCTCTTTGCTCCCATCTTCAACAAACAAAGCTTAAATGCCCATAACTCCTTATTTAATTTCTTTTGTTAAATGATAATAATTTTGTATATGTGCTGCTAAAGCAAGCACAAGTGATAATAAGTTGAAAAATGAATTTCTTCAAAGAAATCATTTTATGCTTAATATCATTAGTAAATTCGTATTTTCATGTTTTTTTAAACTTTTGAATTGTAAAGGACCGCTAATCCAAGGAAAACTTTTTCCCCATAATTGATATACATATCAATTTTATAATATATATATGTACATATGTGTGAAACTTTACAAGTTAAAACCTTAAATTTCATTATGTTGGAATCTTTAGGGAGGTGTGTGTGTGTGTGTGTGTGTGTGTGTGTGTGTGTCACAAAAGTAGAATCGAAAAACAGAAGATCTACCTTTTTTTTTTTTAATCTGGATAGTTTTGGGCAAGCTACAACTTCTGTGAGCCTCAGTTGTCTCATTTTTCAAATTGTAATGCTAGAACCTTTCCAAAGCATAAGCTTGTTGTAAGGAGCCAATAACATAAAATCAGTGACAAGACTTTTTAAACTATAAAACGTACACATGTTAATAGTTACTATTCAAAGTTCTCCAACAGGCAAAGGCAATTCTTGATTCCAGAAGTTATGGTCTGATTTACTTTCAGAACAAATGGAAATTGGGTATGGAAGGAAACCTTCCTGTAAGAAATACAGAATATAGCTTTGCCCTGACTTTCTCATCTTCCTTAGCAAAATGTGCAAATTTTCCTAACTGACCACATGTTTAGAGATTAGGACAAGAGAGAATATAGTTCTTTTCGTACTGTTTTAATATTGAATAAGCCGTATTTATGGTACCTAGCTTTAGGGAAAAGAAAAAAAAAAGAGCAAGAGAGAAATGGTATATCTGCCCACCACCACCTGCTATTTTTAGGTTGGATAGGAAGCCCTGTTTGGCTGCCTTTGCCCATCTCATTTGGCAACTCTTGAGCCTGCATCATTCAGAGAGATATAAGAAGCTTAAAAGGTAGAAAACTGAATTTCTTTGATTTTCCAGACGTCATTGCTGAAAAAACATTATCACCACAAAGCAGTTTGAAGGACATTAGCTGTAAGTAAAACACTAAGAGTTTTCATTTAATGAGATGGGCTTTTGCAGTACAAAAGACATTTATTTCCACCTTTTTGCCTTAATGGGGGGTGAGGAAGGGATGAACCTTCTGTCCTGATTTGATTTATATTGTCAAGAGAAATATTAATTTAGAAAAAGATGCAAATACTGTGCATGTACACACACACATATGTATTTGCTCACACATTTTTATGTGCTTTTTAGAATAAAATTCTTGGAAAAGAAAGGCAAACAATATGAATGCCAAGGAAAGAAGCACAAAAACAATCCTGGAAATGACAGACTTTAAGATTAACATACTAAAATGAATTTGAAAGCTAACTAAATGGAAGGTAAATAGAGAGATCTAATTTTCCATTTACATGAATAAAGGGACATAATATAATACCCATGGATCAGTTTTAAATGAGCATACGTGTCGGCATTTTATAGGTAATAAAATTTAATCTATTTTACCTATACTTTCTATAGTTTTTCTCTGGACTATATTGTTTTATAGTTTCTACACTAATTTTCCTTTAACTGTTAAACTTTTCTTTGATTGTTAAATTATCCTTTTCCTATAACTGAAGAATTTTATTAAATGGATTAAGAAATGTTAAGTGCTTAATGAATGTTTTCTATTATGTTGGCATTTTAAATATATGTGTAACTTTTAATAAAACTATAAGAAAATTGATTGAAAACTAGGCCTATTGCAGGCCATTTTAATTTATATAACTGCACATTTAAGATGAAATTCATTTTCTTATAGCTGTTCCAAAGTTGACTATTTTCCTCCATTTCTAAAAGAATTTGAGGAAAACTTATATTGCAAGGTTAGTCTTAGTGGTAATGTAAAACAAGTTTGCCTAGTAGGAAAAGCTGTGGATATATTGCTCTATTTAAATTTGAAATTATTATTTTTTAAAGTTTATTTATTTTGAGAGACAGTATGCACACGCACAGGGGAGGGGCAGAGGGAGAGAGAGAACCCCAAGCAGGCTCTGCACTGTCAGCACACGGCCGGTCGCAGGGCTCAAACTCAAGAACCAGAGATCATGACCTGAGCTGAAATCATGAGTTCAACGCTTAATCAACTGAACCACCACCAGGCACCCCCTAAATCTGAAATTATAAATCAGTGATATATATACATATATATATGTATCACTGATTTGTGATATATATACATATATGTATATATGTATATATATCACTGATTTATAATTTATAATTTATGTTTATTATATATATACATGTATATATGTGCACATATGTATATGTGTATATATGTGTATGTATATACATGTGTATATATATATGTATATGTATATAAAGGGGAATCAATTTACAATGGCAAATTCAAAGACGAGATTTTTTACAGGCTTGTAAAAGAAGTTGAAGGAACATTTTATTTGTAAGTTGCTTTATTGTTTGCAAAGGACTTTTACATACTTTGTCATTAAATCATCACAATAACTCTGTGAGGTAAATAGTAGTATTCCCTTTTATATATGAGAAAACTGAGGCTCACCGTGGTCCCAATTTGCATGTGACAAAGCCAGGATTTGAAGAGACTGGATCACTGGAAAGTGCTCTGTAGAAAGGATGCCTACATGATGTCTGCACCGGAAAGGATCTTATAAAAGATCTTTCTTTTCTTTTTTTTTTTTTTTTTTTTAAGTTTTTCATGTTTATTTACTTTTGAGAGAAAGAGAGAGAGACAGAGGTATGAGCAGGGGAGGGGCAGAGAGAGGGAGACGCCGAATCTGAAGCAGGCTCCAGGCTCTGAGCTGTCAGCACAGAACCCAATGCGGGGCTTGAACTCGCAGACTGTGAGATCATGACCTGAGCTGAAGTTGGATGCTTAACCAACTGAGCCACCCAGGTGCCCCTAAAAGATCTTTCAAATGATCATTTCCTTGACTTCTGTAGTTTTAGGTGGGAGGCAGCATGTTATAGTAGGAAGCACATGGGAAGACGTGTATTTACTATACCTTGGCCTTCAACAAGTAATCAGCCTCTCTGAACCTTCATTCCTCATCTGTAAAATATGAACAGTTTTTAATAATTTACAGTGTTATTGAAAAGATGAAATGAGATAGTGTAGGAGAGGACCAGGCACTTAACTGCTTCATGGTAGAGCAATTGTTAATAGGTATAAGTCCAAAGACAATAGTCCTTCCAACATAGCACAGTTGCTACATTGCCCATTAGTGCCATAACTTTGAAGGGGAGTACAGTGCTATAATCTAGTATTTTGGGTGAATGAGGAATTTGGGTGAATGAGGAATACCAGGAATCTGGTATTTGGGGTGAATGAGGAAAATGAATGGAGAATTTGTTGAAGATGTTAAAAGCAGAGAAGGGAATTGCATAGAATGGAGCCCACGGATATATACATTGATGTGGAAATCACAATTGAAAGCAATGCAGATGGGAGAAAGAACACTGCAGGAGTAAGAAATAGCTCACAACCTAGTTCAGTGGGAGGGAGAGTATGAGAATCACTTGGCTATATCCTGGACACACCATTTCAGGACGAACCATGTACCACAGAAGCCTCCAGCAATCTCTGTGGTTCAGGGAAATGGAAGTCTCAGCACTGGAGTGGAATGGCTCACATTGGACGTGGGTTTGACAGTCTGATAGATACAGGTTAAAATTTTGGCTACACGACTTTCTGATCTTGGACAAATTATTTGACATCCCATGTCTCTTGTGAAAGGAGGATGATAAGTCCTATTTGGTGAAGTTGTTTCAAAGATTGAATAAGATATACATGTAAAGTTTTTTATTTTTTGTTCTGTTTATTGCCTCCTCTGCCAACAAAAATACAAGATCTGTACAGTAGGACCTTTGTTTTGCCTTTGTACCTGTTGCATGCATATAACAGGAGACCCTCAAATATTTGTTGAAAGACTAAACAAATGAACTTACCAGTGTCTGTATATAAAAGTCCACAGGCCTCACTGAATGATGTGAAAAAATACTCCTGAGCTGCACTGACATTTATAAGATTTTTATCATGATCTATCCTTGTCTAAATTTCTGTCACATTTATTGTCCAACCAAAGGCTATTACATTTATGGTTCACTTGTGATTGATATTTAATCACATATTGTTTTATGGCATAATCTATTTTATATTTTATTTTTCTAATTGGACTGTTAAACTCATTGAGAGTGGAGAGTGGTATTTATTCATCATCATCTAGTCTGAGGCTATGCTTATAGTAACAGTAGATTGGAATAAGGATAGATGTTGTGAATTATTGGACCACATAACCAGGAATTTATACTTGATAATGGTGATCGGTTGTGATAGGATTTTGGTTGATGAAAATAAATTTTCTTCAGTGGTCTACAATGGAGAAATGGTTGTTTATCAGATGAAAGGCTGAAAGACATGTCAGTGGACATGGAAAGGTCATAAAGACTTATATGATAGTATTTGTATTCTAATCCCAGAACAGAGGGTATGTGTTGGTAGGTATTTTGAGGTATTTTTTGACAAACGTGATCTCTCTTGCTTCTGGGTCTTTGTACATGTCTTTGCCTAGAAAATTTCCCTTATCACCTCTCCTCCATTTGTTAATTCCTATTCATCTTTCAGTTTTTGGTGCAGTGTCACTTTCTCCGAGAAGCCTCTGCAGTACTAACCTAAGACTAGATTAAATGTCTCTTTTCTGGGTTCCCTTAGGACCCTATACTTTCCCCATAAAATTATATTTTAATTTTGTTTGTGCCCACTGCTAGAGGACAACTCCATGAAAATAGGAGTTGTATATGTCTTACTTAACATTGTACCCTAGCACAGTGCCTTTTACTCAGTAACTGTTGAATAAATGAATGAAAAATGACTAAAGGAAAGGGAAAAAAGCTTAAAAATAATAGCTGTCATTTATTGGATGTCTGTTAAGTGACTGAGGCTTTCTGTAAGTTAATATTTAATCCTTGTAACAATCCAGACGGGGCAATTGAGTTCAGAGAACTTACGTGGTCAAAGTGATACTACTGAAATTTGAACCAGGATCTCTCTCTCTCTCTCTTTTTTAATGTTTATTTATTTTCGAGACAGAGAGAGACAGAGCGTGAACGGGGGAGGGTCAGAGAGAGAGGGAGACACAGAATCTGAAGTAGGCTCCAGGCTCTGAGCTGTCAGCACAGAGCCCAATGCAGGGCTCAAACTTACAGACCATGAGAGCATGACCTGAGCTGAAGTCCGACGCTCAACTGACTGAGCCACCAGGATCTCTTTGGATCTAAGCCTCTCTTCTTTCCTCTTAGTGCTGCCTGTCTCATACTTTACATTTGTATAGGTTGTTACAGGGTACAAAACTTTTTTCTCCTTATGACAGTGTTGTGAAGTCAGGTATTCTCTCCTATTTCATATTTCCTAAGTGGCAAAGCCATGGTTTTCAAATGAGATATTCTGGATCTAGGTTTAATTCCCTTTCCACAATAACACAGCTGTCTTATTCTGGAGGATTCAAAGGTGTAAAGTCTTTACAAAAATGGTTAGATGATGAAAATATAAAAACTGATAAGGAGTTTTTGATTCATAAATAATAGAAACAATTTCAGGTAGATGTATTTTGGCAGGGCTGGAATAAATTCTGTATTTTCCTTGTCATTTTTTTTTTTCAAAAAGAAAAATAAGTAAAGTTGGGAGTAATTGCTATTAATATTATCAAGTTCTTCTCTTTGATGTCTGATTATTTCTTGGCCTCCTATTGCTATGAGCTCAGAATTCATAGGATCCTTACAGAAGGTACTACTGCTGATGGGACAAAATGGTGCTGTTGGGTGAATTTGATGAGCACCTTCTTCCTACAGCAGCCTCCTTCTTTGTAGCAGTTTGTTTTGCTGTTACTTTGCTTATCCCACACCCCTCAAATTGTGGCTTCTGGTAGGAGGGAGCTTAGTGGGTTTGCCCTGGAGGTCATTGACTTTGGTCACCCTTGGCCTATGACTTACTTTTGCTCTTTACTCTT